TGTTGAACATGGAGAAGCCAATTTGGTGGGAGTGCTCGTCCACTATGTCGCCCAGCCGTAGGAGGGGGAAGTCCTGGGGGGGGGACGGGGGAGACAGTGGATCACATCTCTGCAGATAAACACTGTGTAAAGAGTGGTGTGACTTTATGCAGTGACACACGTTGACCAGAGGTGGAGCTTGAAAACCAGTACCAGTACCAGAGTACTTCAACTCTGTACTGACACAGTTATTTACAAATACATTGTTTAATCCTGGACCAGAACCAAGTACTAATGAAGTACGTGTATTTGTCCACTGATCACATGACCTCCTCCTTCATCTCCTTTGTCACCTCTCTCCTCCAATCAAACACGCCTTAGCATCTGTGCTCACTGATGAAGGGAGTGAAGAGGAGGAGGAGGAGGAGGAGGAGGAGGAGACAGCTGTGGAGCTCAGCTCCTCTTACCATGGTGGTGAGGATGTACTTGTAGAAGGCCGAGGTCATTCCCAGCTCTGAGGCCTGTGGAGGAGAAGGAGGAGAGAATGAAATAACATGATGATGGAGAGAAGAGTGAGAGAAGAACAGCTCCAGAAGTTAGGAAGAGTCGAGGAGACAGAAGAAGAAGAAGAAGAAGAAGAAGAAGAAGAAGATGTTTGTCATCAGGTCAGATTTATACCCTGTTCCTGATGAACCCCCCCAGTTCAGTGTGATCACTGTTGTAAACACGTTGTTGTTCCATGAGGGGGGCAACAACGTTAATTCAAACACAACAACAACAACAAGAACAACAACCTGTCGCCTGTGGAACCTCTGAGGATCATGAGTGGAACATGAATCTATAAATGAATCTATGAGAGAGAGAGAAGGACTGCGTTGGGGCGTGGGATGAATACTGAGCTCTGACCTTCTTCAGGATGTGGTAGGACACAGACGCATTAGCATCGATGATGATGGTGGCTACTTTGTCGTCACGGATCTCCTTCAGCAGCGGTGTGGGGTCCAGGTTGTCGTCCAGCATTCTGACGGACAGCGTCTCCCGAGAGATGAGGAAGCGACGCACCAACTCCTCCAACCTCAGCAGACCTGCAGAAGAACACGAGGTTCAGAAGACGACACCTGTGGAGTGTAGCTGGGGTTTATTCCAGTCTGATGGGGGTGTCCACCAGCCCCCGGGGCGGTGGGGGGGGGCAGGGGTGATGGAACTCTGTTGGGGTTGACAACAGTTTTGTCCCGGACTGACGCTCCCG